TGGAAACGTTTCCTCCACGTCCCTCCTTCACCCGGTGGGACAACGCTTAGCTGCTCCGTGCAACTGCTGGCAAAGTTGAGGCAAAGTGGGATTGAGCATAATTTATTTACGGGCGCCTAGATCCCATAGGCATCCTGTGGAAATCGAGCCCCTAGGTTACCTGCAAAAAAATCCCTTAAGACCTTTACGCTTCCAAAATAGCAAAGGTCTATCGGCCACATTGTGTTCTGCAGCTGAAAAACGGACAGAGTCCAGATCTGAACGTCAAGGCACAGTGAGGGTCGGGGGGGTGGGGGTGCCTGCTCGTTCCAGGCTAATAGAAGAATTGGATCTGTCTCTCTTCATCAAAGGGCAGGAGGTGTAGGCAAAGGTCTGGTTCAAGTCCATCTTCAATAAACATAGCTTTCTCAGAGAAGGAGCCTCTGACTTGTAAAAGCTGCAGACGCATTCGTTCAGCTGAAAACAGCTGGCTGCCTTTGGTGATCTTTCTAGCCAGCTCCTAATTATTTTCATTTAAACAAAGGGCTTTGCTTCTTCCTGGCTCATCTGCTCTTCTTACTTTTTAACTGCTGAGAAGTCAAAATTAGGCAGGCTATGACAGTAACACTGTTTCACAGAACAAACTACACACAGATAAAACCCACCCCATATGCTTCTGGATATGCAAATCCAAGATAAGAAGATAACTATGCTGATGACACGCCTCTCCCATCCCTTAGCTATCCCAGCAGGGGCTGAGAAAAAAAGTCCTCTCTTTCTGCAACCCAAAAGCCTGCCTGACAGTACCCATGAAGGAAGGAAGAGGGGCCTATAATCGTAAAGCCAAACTGTAAGCAGCAGTGCACAACAGCAACTCCTCATGTGTGTATTTCCAATGAAATAGCTGGGGTTCATGCACATGAACACAACCACCCGAAAACTTCCAGCTGGACCTAAGGACCCAGTGATAACTACTGGGTAACTGCTGCTGTTCCAGCACAGACGGTTGGGATAGCCCTGGCACGGACAGGTTTCCAGCTGCTGAAAGTGTAATGCTTTAACTCCTGACAGTTGCAATGAAACTGTTCTGCAATGTAACATGGCAGACAACAAGGTCCAGACTTAGCTAATACATAGAATTGAACCAGTATAAGCAGAAGTAGACTATTTTCACAATAGGATTTTTAAAACAGGGTTTAGTTTTAGCATTTCAACTGATACCCCTCCCTGTCTCCCAACAGCATGGCAGGTACCAAAGAAACAAAACAGCTAAAACACTGCGATGGGGGCAATTACATGAGTTGGTTGCAAATACAAGAGACATACATGTTTGATGATTAAGCACACGGCAAAGGAATCCTCAAGTCTTTGACTCACTCTCCTCCCCTTCTCTATAAATAGCTTCCATTTTCAAGCAGAAGCAAGACTAAACTCTTGTGGTGAGCTCCACCTGAGTTGCAACGTCATCTATGCTATCCTAGGAAGGCAGGAGAATAAAAACAGTGATTCCTTGCTTGAGGCACTATTCTGAAGTCTAGAAATTCAGTGCTGTATTGGCACATAAGCCTGTTCTCAAGTTGTGGAGGAGTCTCCTCTCTTGGCAAGGAGCCCATTACATGATTAAACCTCATGCTGGGGCTGAGCCAAAGGCAGCTAAAGACAGAAGAAACATTTCCACTAGTGTCCAGGAACCCTCAATGAGGCTCTTCCTTTCCACATAAGAGGTAGATGACCTGTTCCTCCAACCAGCCACCACTGTTAGTGCTCCAATGGCAGTAGTGGGAGGATAGAGTCAAATGGACACCGTTTTTGTGTTTTATATAAAGCATCACCCCAACCCTGCTCAGCATAAGATGAGATGAGATCATGGTAAAAGAATTAGGAAATAGCCAAAGCTGCACTCATACAGCTGCACCGATGGGAGCCACAGAAGGAAGATAAGCACATGTGATTCTCCTGATCAGTCAGACCTTCAAGCAACTGGCCCTCTGGAGTAAATTGGCTTCCCTACATGAAGGATGCAGAATTTGGCATTTCCTTACAAAAGGGCACATCCCCAGAAGAAAAGCAGAAGTCCTAGGTATAAGATACCAATGTTTATATAAAGTGTAAACAACTCACAAGGGATCAGATGCTCCACAAACCGTGCTGTCTATCGTCTTGCAGAGGCTTCCAACACCAACGTGTCTGAACTCCTCTGTACATTCTCTTATGTACTTTTTGGCACTATGTTCTGCCTAGATTTGAATTAAGCAATGGTGCTTTTGCCTTTTATTTTGGGATACTATTCCACTATCAGTCCTAGCCAGCTTTTTCAAACAAGAAGTTTGCATGTCAGAAAAATGACATAATTGTTTTTCTTAAAAGTTTTCATGATATGTCAGAATTTCAGCAGAAAAAACTTGTTTTTCATTTACCCAAACAGCATGTTTATAAATGATTTATTAAACATTTGTAATAAAAATAAACCCATGAGAATCCCAAAAGTTTTGAAATCCTTAATGAAATTTATTTCTTATTTTCTGACCAGTACAACTTCAAAATTTAATCTTATTTTGATGGCAGAAGCAGCCACCTTATCTTCACATCTGCCTGTAAATCACCAAGGTCATGTAACTCCAGCAAGTAATAACTGAAGTCTCAGGGCTGAAAAGCTTATGGTGATATTCTGCCTTAACTTTTAATTTCAACATCCTGTTCTACTTATGTGCTTTCTACAATCCAGAATGATCTTCTGCTTTGGGACTCACATGAATTGTACACATAAACACACACCACGCACAGATAATTACATCAATAATCTCCCACTCCTACTGGTGTTTTCTTAAAGAAATTTTAAAAAGAAAATCATTCCTCATACAACATATTTCATTTTCTCCTTCATAAAGAAAAAATAGTGACTACTTAGAAAAAGTACACCAATGAGTAGAGCTTTCTGTTGAAGTGATCCAAAATAATTATTATACCATTCATTTTAGAGGGTTCTTCTCTCAAAAAACTGCAATGTAACTTCTTTAAATTAATAGACTTAAGTAAAGTGATGCAATTTATCACTCCATTTCACAGCTTCACTGGAGCCATAAAACTAGCACCTCTTCCTCCAATACTCCTTCAGAAATACATGGAAATACTTCTTGCTTATTTTGAAGATAAGTATATGTTTGTGTTTCAGGAGCTGATGTCAGACAAGAGTTTCTGCCAAAATGCTCATCCTCTTCGTTAACATGTTCCTAGCTTATGTACTGGAAAAGTGTCCAGAAATGAAAATCCATTCTCCCAGATTTGTAATTCTCATTAGTATTTGAGCACAGTATATTCATATAACAGGAAGCTTAATATTCACATTTTAGATGGCATTTCATGCTTTGCAGAGTGTACTGTGGGGAGTGCTTGGTCACTATTGAAATATGGTTCTGTCTAGTGCATGCCAGGAAACTGGTAGATTACACATTACAAGTAATTTAGGGAACACATTGTCACAATATACCATTGGTCAAAAACAGATCAGTCTTTGATATGACTAATAAGAACACTCTTTAAGGTACATCAGATAGGAAATAAAAGTGTTGATTCTCATACCTCAGAAAATCAGTCAAGCATAAATCAACCACGTCAGGAAAGAAAAATCTTTCTGTAACACACAGATACAGACTTCTTTCAACCTTCATCTATACTGCCTCTTGTTAGAAATAAAGCAGAGAGACAAACAGCTGGTCTAAGCTAGCTTCGTGATGCAGAACAGAAAAATAAATAAATGAATGGAAAAATGGGATAACCATTTACCCCAATATAATCTCATGTCATATTTTGTCAGGCACATAATGTCAGATTAAATTGAATTTTAATCAGAAGGACTAATCTGACAGATTTAATCCAGACTTCAGATAATCCTTGGATTATAACAAGGAGACTATTACTTGAAACAGATGATACAGGGAACTGTAAAGTAAGGAGTTGATTTTGGGGAGATACGGAGGTTAGTAGAGAAAACTATCCTTCAAGGATCCATCTGGGGAACAGTATCATTTAAGGTTTGCACTAATGATTTGCACTAATGAAAAGAAATAAATGTGAGCATGCACATTGAAGTTAGGTGACTTTATCAAGTCAGCCTAAGACTGGGATAGCATGTAGGAAAAATAACGAGTAACAAAAATAACCAAGTAACAAAAGTGGAATGGAACTTAGTAAGGCCACGTCATGCACTTGAGGGATTAGTAAGAATTTCTTTGATAAACCAGAAACTGAACCACAAATGTCAAAGGAGGAAAAACACCCAAGTATATTATTTAATTATAAACTAACATACAATCCCATACGAAAAAAATCAAGAAAAGGACAACATAATTCTGGGATATATCAGGCAAGGTCAAATCTAGGAAGTATTATGTCCATTTCACAGGACTTTGAAGAGCTGATTTCTATCTGTAATTCCAGCAACCCACACTAAAACAAACAAACAAACAAACAAAACTCAAACTGGAACCAATGCAGAAAAGGCCTAGGAAGAACAGCGGGGAAGCGGAGAGCCTAATTTACTACAGGAGACTAACAAAGCTTGGCTTCTTTAACTCAGTAAAATGAAGGCTGAGAGACCAGATGATTTTTTTCTATATGGAGTCTGGAAGCAAGTGCCAGAGAGAGAAACACTATTTAAACTTAAAGAGTAAAGTTGGCACAGGAACAAATGGGCATAAACTGGCTGTTAAAACAATTTAGACTAGAAATTCTTAGAAGGATTCAAGTCACTAGCAGAACTGGGTCACGGAACAGCCTTCCAAAGCCATTCTTGGCTCTGTTACTCCAAGCTACCTTTAGATGAAGCTTCTTCAGACTGAGGAAAGATTATGTGATGTCGGGCCTATGACAGCAGGGACATGTCCATTTCAGTCCTATCTTATTATTTAGAGAGAGAAAGAATAGTAGAGCAGACTCATTGGAGAAGGGCCTTACACAATCCTTACCATTCACAGAGGGGCAAAAGGTGTCCACTTCTAAGAGCTCATTAAATTGTTTCACAGTACGCTCGTGCAATCAGTTTATCTGCTGTGGACTTGCATGCTGCGACAGATTACGGAGCTTTTGTGCTGGCATGGAGGATTCTCACAATCCCTATTCTTTCCTTTGCAGATATTTGTGAGGCTTTAAATGTGACAGTCTCTCCAGGACCAACAGTGCGATACGTTGAGGGAGATAATGCTACCCTTTACTGTCACATTTCTCAGAAAAGAAAGACAGACAATTTGCTGGCTGTGCGGTGGGTCTTCGCTGTATCACCTACCCAGGAGTACCTGATGATCAAAATGACTAAGTTTGGGTCTGTCCAGTATTATGGAAATTACACTCACCATTTTCACAAGCAAAGACTTCATCTTCTTAAAGAAAAACATGGAACTATGTACAAATTTCTTATTCTAAGCCTTCAGCAAACAGATCAAGGACATTACATATGCAAAGTCCAAGAAATTGGCAAGCACAGGAATAAGTGGACAGCATGGTCAAATGGCACAGCAGCTACCGAAATAAAAGGTGAGAAATTACTGATTTCAATTACTTCATTTTTCTTGTCCCATGATCTCTTTTCTCCTCTCTGTCAAGTTCATCCATAAGACATTTGAACTTAGGTTATTTTTAATTGTTATCTGTGAATCTGACAAGAAAATCTAATACTCAGTTTCTTTATACACTTTACAATTTAAACATGATTCAGTCCCTAATAAAAAATAAAGAAGTGACAAGACTACTATATTTCTAGAAGATAGTCTATTTCTCTTGCTTTTCACCACAAAGGCAGTAATTAATACTCTTTTACATTCAGCTATGGGTCTGCAGAACTATGCTAGTGGGAATAAACAAATGTCATTATTATTTAAATACAAAGAAACAGAAGCAGAGAGAAATTAACTTATTTTCCAAAGAATATGCAGTGGGTCATCCAGAAATAGAAGCTTTATATTTTAGATCTATGTTTTGCCTCTCAGTAGGTTCATTACTTTTACTTCTAGTCTAGAAGTAATTTGTGAGTAGCATTCCTAGTATCACTTCTGTACTTTTGTTTGTACCACTGTAGTCAGAAAGTAGAGTTGGAGAAGCAGTGACTAGCCCTTTTGTTTTGAACTTTAGATAAACAAATGACCAGAGAGGAATGAAGGTTTCCAAAGGATTCCCCACAGGGCCTACTCTGAAGATAATGCAAGAAAGCAAGTGTGACTGCTTGGTCTGTGGGTCTGGAAATTCAGAGGTCATTCAAACCAAAATTCCTTGCGTTCAGAGGTTCATCCAGCAATCATAGAAGAACTTGTGGGAGGAAACTTCACTTCGTGAAGTTTCCTCCATTGATTCTGATGCTAAATTTATTACTGTGTTTAGACCACAAAGGTTACCCCAGTAGATGGAAATCCTAATCCCACTTATCTAACTTATGTTTTGGGGAAAACGGCCCTAGCTGACCACAGGCCTTTTCAAGATGGATTCAGACACGTATTTATGCAGTCTAAAATCAAAGCACATTCCCTCAAGTGCTAACTGCACTGGTGTCATTAGGGTTTTGGTATCCCTTTTGGATTATATACACAGCAGGGAGATAACAGGTGACTGTAAAAGGCAATCTTTGCGAATGTGTGATCTCCTCTGGATAGCTCTCAGATGTCACAAGCTTTTGCTTTGTTCCATCAGAAGTGCAAAAGCATGTGAAAAACAATATAAAAAAAGATAAATAGCAGCTTTGTTTTCACCAGCAATGTTTAAAACTCCCTTGGTAAATCATGGCATTAACATAAGGTAATTAGGTGGTTATTAGTAGCAATGATGAAAGATACAAATCATAGAGAGCTGAAGTTCAGTTTGGATTAGTAGCAAAGAGCATGGATCAGCTTAAATTTAAACAACAAGAAAAAAATCCTAGTCTATACTCTGTGATCTTACTGGGTCTGCAAAACTTGTCTGGGAAGCCTCCGAGACATTCAAACAGGATTTCCTCTGCTTCCTGTTTGCAGACAGCCAGAAATTATGCAATAAAGCTCTATCCCCTCTGAGTGACAGAGCAGGAACGAGGTCTAAACTGGGATCTCGATCCCCTGCCTGCTTCCTCTAGGGATGAGCCCAGCCCTCCGGCACCCAGATCACAACTCTGCATCAGCTACATTTCTTTGTATAGAAGACTAGGGAGGTGGGACTTTACAGAAAACCTCACCAAACTTCATTAGACTCCTAAATACAAATCACCAAAGCAATTAGTGCCACAGATCAAAAACGCAATCGGGCAGTCGAACCTCATCCATAATCCATAACCTTGTATCCTAAAAAATTAAAGCCTTTTGAATCCATGGGCTGATTTTAAGCAGATGTGACAGAAGCATAAAGTTCTTAAAGATGCCAAGTTTGTACAAGTCATGTGAAATTGACTCGGGGGCCGGAGGAGGAAGGGAGAAAGGCAGAAGATCCCTATTAACTTTCTCATTGAGGGAAAGCTGTGAGCAAAGCAGGTAATTGTTGTTGTTGATCTGCCATGTGGCAGTTACCTCTCATGTCACAGTCAGCACTTAGGGCTCCTGGACATACCACAAGAGAAGGAGAAGGCCAGTACTTAGGTCACTGCGGAGGGGGTAGGTCACTAGGACATGGGACAGAAAATTTATTAGCTTCATATTTCTAAGAACAATTTCTGGTTAGATTTTTGTTGTTGCTTTCACTCTTTTGTTTTAAAATGGAGAAGAGTAAGAGCACTAGAGCCCAACATCTCCTGAACTCAGCCATTTTCCATGTCTAGAGAGCATTAAGTTTTACAAGCACTGACCCCATGGTGGGTGGCTGGACCCAAGACACAGTGGTTCCTCTCAACTACGCAGGGCTATGAAATGAAACTTTACTGTACCCATGATGTAGCCCTGCAGACTTTAGGCATTAGTTTGCTTAATGCTCAGCAGAAGTTCTTCCCTGCTGTTCCTCTTGGCGAGGAACCGGCTCCTCTCCCTATCTCTTTCCCCTTCTCCTCTCTGGATTTGGCCAACTGGAGAGATACAGGAAGTCAAAAAGGAACTGGGAAGAAGGAGGACTGAGCAGTCCACCTGCCTCAGCCTCACATTTTTGGGAAGGGGCAAAAGGGCAGGTGATGGTGGGGAGGGAAGCTAGGGGCTGTAGTCTCAACCCCAAAAGAACTAGTGGTTCAAATGCTCTGCTGGAGGGAGAAGAGGAAGAGAAGCTGAGCCTCACAGCTGTTGTTACTTCCTATGGCATCTGGAATGGGTGGGCAGGGTTAAGTGCTTGGTGCACTGAAGCTTGCAGGCCTACTAGCAGGACTAGAAGGCCACCATACAACCCCAAAGTCTCCTCAAAGGTGGACTACACGTTCACCTCCATCTCAGGCTGACCATCATCTCAGAGAGTACCTTGCTCCAAGCACTGACCTCCTCTCTTCTCCCAGGACCCCATGCTTCTACTTCCTGGGTTGGAGCACACTCAACACTTGCTTCTGTCCCCTCCAGAGGATGTAGTTCCAGCTTCTGTCCTCCCTTCACACATTGCTGGCTCTAGGCACACGCAACTGCCTGTTTTACTCAAAGCAACAGAATTCCCATCGGAAAGCCAGGCTCCTCACTGCAGCTACCACAACAAAAGAGAAGGCTGGATGCCACTGTAAGACATCAAGAGAAAAGACAAAGAGCACACAGAAGAGAGATTTAAGTACCAGTTTTGGGGAAGAAATTCTGAAGATAACTTGAGGAAAGAGAGCCGAGAGAGGGCCAGATCTGGTACTAGGAGATAAAAGAGAAGCAGTGAAGAAGGAAAGGACTGCCTCATCTGGGGGCTTACACTAAAACATTTCCCCTCAGAGCCTCTGCAGCACACCAGGTAGCCATCTCCAAAAGTAGTATATCAAAAGATAGAGTGGATAGCTAGTGCATTTCTTGCATGAAGGATTTGCAAAATAGACTGACCAATATACCGAAAGAGTGCAGAACAAGTAGCAGGCTCCAGGTGAAAAAAAAAAAAAAAAGAGAGCAAATCAGAGGCAGGGTCACATTTTATTCCTTATTTAGCCAATTCTGTTTTATTTTTTTTCTGCTCGTTTCATAGGCCAGGTCAGCAATTTAAAAAGTGTTTCTTCATACACTGAACAATAGAATTTCTTAAATGTCTGTAGTGGAACATATGGATTTATCTAGAGTGCTTGGAAAAGGAGTGACGTGCCAGGTAAGTGGCAGCAGAATAAAAGGCAATCTAAAATTCCTCTCCCCCTTCCCTCCCCTTGCAAAAAGTCACTCTGCATCATTCATAGCTGCACAGGTTGTTGATAGCTATAACAGAGAAATCTCTCATTGCTCTTCCTAGCTAAAGTCTGGGGTTCAGATCAACGCAGTTATTGCGAAGAAGAAAAATGGTTACTCTACAGTTCAGCCCTTAAATACTGAATTATTTCTTGTTTTCCTGATTTTTACTGCTATTCATGAATACAGAACCAGGGTAGGGACTTGAGACTCATAAATTCATCTTTCTGAAAGTGTCTGGAGAGCTGCATTGCTTCTCTCTGCTTCAAACGTAACCCAAAGCAGAGCAAGACACTTGAGATAAGAAAGGAGGGCAGGCCCACCTGTAGACTAAATATACTGACACAACACCCTGTGAGGATCCAAGGCAAACCTTTGTAAGAAGGGGTATTTCACTTGGATTTAGAATTAGAATAAAGATTCTAGAAGAAATCTGAAAAATTACATATATTTAAAGGCCAAAGCAACTTTTTAACTGCTAAAAATGAAGAACTATTGGAAGAAAAGAACTGACTTAGCTAGCCGTGAATTAATGCACTGTAAGCATAAAGGACTTACTCCACATGGGAGTGAAGGCAACTCTTTTCACAGTAGTGCTAACGACAACAGTTTCCCCAATAGTAACACCTGGGCTTTTCAAGGACATTTCCCTCCACATGCTGTACTTCACATTATGATTAGTTGCACTTTTCATTGCAAAGGAATTTAGTTATGTTACAATTAGTTTCAGGATAAAAAAAAAGGGTGCAATACAACTTGCCTGAAGCATGTATATACTTAAATTATATACTTTTGCTTTATCAAATAAGGTAACAGTATTCAAACACATTACAGACGCTGTCTTATCTAGCGTTTTGTTTCAATGAACACATCTGAAGTTAGGTCCAAAACCAAGATTGGTATCTTTATGCGAAAGTGCCAAACAAATTTCTAACAAGCTTGCACATCAAGTGGATGCAGAAATAGCATTTAGGTCCCTTTTTTGGTTCGCATAGGAGGAGGTGGTCACTGTGTAAGTTAGCAAATTCCAGAGGGAATGGAGAAGGAGTATTTGCACGGGAAACAGGAAAAAACGGGGACAGGTCAGTATGTTGCCTTTGCCTACCACAAAGCATAGCACTATTCTAAGCAAAAGAACTTGCTAAATTATGGCTTAGTTTCTACTATTTACTGCTATTAACTTACATCCAGCTTTTGTTATTTGCTAGCAAGTTTGTTGGTGTGAATTCGTGTGGGCTATAAAGAAGTTGCAAATAAATTTTT